TACTGGTGCGGCAACACGCTGAGGAAAAGTGTAAAAATGGAGCTTGATTGACATCTTTTTGCAAAGAGTGGGCGAGAAGCCTAGCAGTGTGAATCAAGCCGAGTGGAAAAAATAGCTGGTTTTCCTGACATTTTAAGACTCTGTTCTCAATCAAAGTAGCCAAGGTGACACGAGCATGTGCGGTGTGATGAAGAACCATAGCTGAATTCCCACCTCCACACCCTAGACACACACTGAGTGCATCTGTAAATGACAAAAATAACAGCAATTACAATTACAATACACCCAGAATAGACAGTATAATGTGGTGTGTGCCTGACCATTTCAGCACAGGAAAAAAGAAAAAAAAAAAGACATAAAGAAAATGTGATATTTTTAAGGACTAAAGGCTAATAGGACTTTGGCAGTCATATGACGTGTGTACTTTTTGAACAAAAGCTCAGGACTTTGACACAGGAAACCAAGATTACCCGTCTTCCATCATTTTTTTTATCCTGTTAACCATGAATGTTCCATGACCTTAACAGCATGTTTATTGTTATAACCCCGATGATGAAGGTCTGGAGCACCTGCAGCAAAAGAAAGGCTATTTCAGGAAATCCTCCTATGGGTCATAAACAACCTATGTGGCCTTTTAGGTTGGAGCACTTGTTGCACCAATCACCTGTGCTACATTTTCCATATATACAATAAAGTAGCTGCTAAAGAATACTCCCGACCTCCAGGTGTTTACACTGTCTCTCTTCTATACACTCTCTCCCTTTTATCCTCCCCTCTGTGAATCTCTTTTCTTTCTCTCCTTGCCTTTTGCTGTGTCTGTATTGCTGGAACCAGCCTGGCTGGCCGACTGCAGCTCCCCGTCAAGCTGGTTTTGTCAAGCTTTACTTCAACTCCATTTCTCCTGACACATACACATTCTTATAAAGTACAGACACACAAGATACACTGGCATGCATGTAGTGTGGAGATGCACATACAAAGGGAGAAACGGGACAAAAGACAGAATGAAGATGTGGTATTTTGTGTAAATATACCTATGGAATGTACCTAGAAATTGTATTTGTGCAGCAGACAGAAGGACTGAATGACTGTCCTGAGGCCTCACTTCTAACCATTGTGTACACACAAAAAGGGGCTTGAAAGGTGTTTACGCCAATTCCCACAGAGAAATCTGGATTTATGAGACCAAACAACATGAGAATGTTTATACCTGTATAGAAACTCTGAAGTGAAGGGGTCTGAATGCTAAAATGTGTGGTAAATGTAAGCTCAAAAGTAATACCTGAATTAAAGTTTAACACACACTGCATAAGGAAGTTTGTCTGGTGTAGTGCACAATGGTGGAACACAGTCCATTCAACAATTTGATTATTTTCTATGGGATTTTTGACTTTTTGTGATGCCTCTTCTGAAAATGACCCTTATTAGTGTTGCAGTGATTTCAGCTGCATCCCCTCACATTAAATGCTGTATATATTCTGCCCCAGATTAAAGTCATTATTAATATGTACTGTATATGTCCTCTTTGTTTAGCATTTTCTATTCACCTCATT